CGGCGCGGGCAGAGCTTGCCCGGGGGGTCCCCGTCGCTCCGCTGCCTGCTCGGGCAGGCGTGGCCCTGTCCCCCGCGGGCCGAGGCCCCTTTCTCCCTCCTTGCTTCTCCCCGGTGGGGCCGTGGCGTGGCGAGGCACAGGAGACTTTGGCCTGTCTGGCCCCGCAGTGCGGGGTAGGGCTCAGTCCTTGCCTGCATCACCACACCCCGCTCCTCGTTTTGGCTCTCAAACCCCCCCCGAAGTGGTGTTTTACTTCGTTTTAAATCCTACAGCCTGCCCTTGAGCGTGGCACTGGCTCGCAGGACAAGTGATGCTGGGCTCGGGCATCTCCGTTGCTTCAACTGTGCAAAATCTCAGGAAATACTCCCGGGAAAATATATGACCAATAAAAAATAATAATAAAAATGAACTCACTGTCTTGCAGCTGGTGGGAGAGGTGAGAAGCAGGGCTAGTGGAAAAAGTTGTCCCTTCCAGTATTTAGGGTGAATCGTTGGTGTTTCTCTACCTGTTCTGATGAGGACATGTAGGCTGTGGATGTGTTCATTCCTGGCCTCTGTGTTACAGTGAATCTGTTGGGTGGATGTGCTAAATCCTGAGGTTTTTGCGGTGTCTGTGATGGGAAATAATAGAAAGCTTTGCATGAGAATTGGGACCTATAAACTTTAGGACTGGAGGAAGCCTAGGCACTCCAGCATGGAGAGTTATTTGTTAGGACAGAGGAAGAATTTCTAATAGATTCATACTGTAAACATTAAGGACTTAGTATGTCTTGAAACACATTGGCAAGGGTTTGTTTGTTGGTTTTTTTTTTTAAGAAGGGAGGTGCTTCAGTAAATGCTGTCATGGTTCTGGTTATACAATTTCAGTAATGGAAGTTGCCAACAACCTCTGCATCTGAAAATTAGATCCTATGCTTTTCTTCCACCCTGATTTAATACATGGTGAGATCTGTTGCCAAAGATACTAAAAATATTGAAGAGTTAAGTGGAGTAACTAAATGCTTAATGTTTTATGGGCAGCGGTCATTTCTGAAAAGGAACCAAAAATGATAACATTTCAGTTGTATTTTTTTCTGTTATGTTCTCATATTTGTGGTAAGAAGAGAACCAAGGGTTTTTATGGAAGGAGAAATGAAGAATAAAAAAGTTTATTGTGAAAAATGCAAGTAACTCAAATCTTTCAAGCCACAGAAAAATAAATTTTCGCAAATGTTTTAGATCTTGACACAATATAGACAATTCTAATTCTGAAGATTTTAAGAATCAGCATTTTCATATGGAAAACCTCAGCCTGCCAGTGGTGAATCCAGGCTGGGACTATCCTTGTGCAAATCGGAGCCTGAATCTTCCTAGGAGACTCATCTTTGGGAGCTCTATTTGAATTCTGTGACTCAAAAGGCAAGGTGGCCCTTCTGGTGGCACAAAGCCTCATCATGTAGTTATTTATAATACCTTTAATTTTTTTTTTTTTAAAAAAAACCAAGAGATACAGGTTTATGAGGAGAGAAAACATGTAATTACTTATAATAATGCCTAAGGTGACATTAAGGCTAGTAGTTCAGTTGTATGGCTGACTACATGTGTAGCCCTTGCCAAGACCTGTACAGCTTTTCCAACAATTTCCATTAGACAGCAAGATAACAAAAAGAACACTAATTTGAACTTTGCCAAACTTTATGCAGTACTCTACAGTATTTTTCTGGAATAATGTAAGTGGAACAGATCAGGACAGAGAAATGTGTATCACTATCATACTTGTTTCAGATGAAGGATGTAGGTAATGTTAACATCACCTAATATAAGTGGCCATAAAAGCACTGTCTATACTTATTTCCGTGCCCAATTTTAGCTCTTAAAAGTAAAAGGGCTGTTCCTAAAATATAGACAGAAGAATCTCTTTCCCTAATGGCTATAATTATTTCTAAGGTATTTTTTTTTAACTACAGTGTATTTCTAGTGGATGTGAAGGTAACTTCCTGTTGATTTGAGCATTACTTTAATAGTACTAATGCTGCTTACTAATTACATCCTCATATTTTGTTGAACTGTTGAATAGGCTAAATTTTAAAGAGAAGTAATGCAAGGATACTAGATTTGTGTGTGTGTCAAGAATTAGGGGTGTTGTGACAGTTTCAGAAAACATCCAAAAGTGCGACTAATTCAGGATGAGGCAGTAGAATCATAACAATGTTGTAGAAGGTAGTATTTAAGTTAGGTCTGTGTTTACTTTCTTGTAAACTTATACCCTCTGAACCTGTACTAGAGCAAGCAAAAGGAATTGCAGTCTGAAATTTTGCATACAAGACCTCAAGAGCGATCCAAGATCTATTTTTTTTTAACCTATATACTATCTATGGCACTGAGAAGAGCTGTACCTATAAAGAACAGGATGAAAATCCTGTTTTAGTTTACTTGCATGGTCAGTTTTCTTCTGCTGTAGGTGTGTATATTTCTGGCAGGGTATGGAGAGAAGTTTGTTTTAAAAACAGGAAAGCATGACCATGAACAACAAAAAATGACAAGGGTCACAGTGGCAGGTGCAGTACCTGACCCTATTTTTAACCCTTTTT